ACTCCTCATAGACCTTCAACAAGGACACAATTCAGTTGCCGAGTATGCCCTCGAGTTCCGAACCATGGCTGCAGGGATTGGATGGAGGGAGGCTGCTTTACTTACCGTCTACCAAAGAGGGCTCAACAGGGAACTTCAGGCGGAGCTGGCCTGTAGAGGTGACCTTCAGGATTTACATCAATACATTCGTATGTCCATCTCCATCGACCACCTCTTCGCCATCCGCTTAAGAACTCTGCCACCCAGGAACCCGAAACCACTTCTTTCCATGATTCCATCATCCTGTCCGAGTCTTCCGGAGCCCATGTAGTTGGGTCATGCTCCTCTCCCATGTATCGAAAGTCAAAGGCGGATCCAAGAAGGGCTCTGCCTATACTGTGGAGGGAAAGATCATCTACTCAGCCATTGCCCTGTTCGCCCCCCACAGAGAGATGAGAAGGGTCCCTCCGCTGCCATGCAGGTAGGCGGGTCCGTATTTCTAAATATCTCCAAGAAGCAATTCTCCATCCCAGTATTGATAACTGTGAAGGGGGTTACAAAGTACGTAGAGGGCTTGATAGATTCGGGAGCAGCAGGTAGTTTTATCGATCACCAGCTAGTACACGAGCTTGACATTGACCTTACACCTGTCACCCCTCCCTTAAGGATTAACACGCTGGACGGGCAGCCATTGGGGACAGGCTTCATTACGCACCTGACACAGAGCGTTACCCTCCAGATTGGAGTCTTCCACACTGAAACCATTAAACTCATGGAACTCTCATCCCCCAAACAGCCACTCATCCTCGGACAGCCCTGGCATTGTCGTCAAGATCCTGCCATCTCGGGGCGACAAGGTGAACTACTGTCCTGGTCTTCTACCTGCTTCAGCAGTTGTCTCAGCCTACCCTGCAGAGCTAACACCATTGAGGACTCTGCCTCTGCAGTGCCACCCACCATACCAGCTGAATACGCCCAGTACAGCAATGTCTTCAGCAAAATCAAGGCCTCCACTCTGCCCCCACATCGCCCAGGAGACTGTGCTATTGACTTACTCCCTGGAGTGTCCCCACCGAAGGGCCGTGTCTATCCCGGAAAATGAGGCAATGGAGAACTACATTGATGAAGCACTCAAACGGTTTGATTCGTCCTTCTTCCCCGGCTGCGTCCAACTTCCTCTTCTTTGGGAAAAATGGACTGTGGTCTTTGTCCATGTATTGATTACCGTTCCCTGACTGACGTTATGGTCATGAACCATTTCCCCCTTCCTCTGATCCCAGCGACCCTTGAACACGTGGGCCACGCCAACATCTATACAAAACTCGACCTGCAGAGTGCTTCTAACCTTGTCCGTGTACGTGAAGGCGACGAATGGAAGACGGCCTTTATCACCGCACGAGGGCACTACGAATACCTGGTCATGCCCCACGGCCTTACTAACATTCCAATCCTTTATGAACAAGGTTTTCCAGGATATGATCAACCGCTTTCTCATCGTCTACATTGATGACATCCTGATTTACTCCCACTCCCTGAAGGAACACATACAGCATGTACAAAGGGTTCTTCAATGGCTCCTTGACCATAACCTTTATGTGAAGACTGAAAAGAGCACCTTCCATGTAACCTCAGTAAACTTCCTCGGTTTCGTACTGACACCTGGAGGGGTCAGCATGGATGAGAACAAAGTCACCGCCGTCAGCAACTGGCACAAACCCACCACCGTTAAGGAACTCCAACGTTTCATTGGGTTCTCCAACTTCTATCGCCGGTTCATTTGGCACTTCAGTTCTACTGCTGCTCCCCTCACTGCCCTCACCAGCCAAAAGACCCGGGAAACCTTCAATGGACTGATACTTCACTGACTGCTTTCAACACCTTGAAACGCCTCGTCACTTCAGCTCCTGTCCTTCGCCAACCTGATCCGACCCTTCCGTTCACCCTGGAGGTGGATGCCTCCGAAGTAGGAGTAGGAGCCATACTCTCTCAGCGGGTGGGAACACCTTCAAAATCACATCCTTGTGCCTTCTTCTCCAGGAAGTTATCCCCCGCTGAGAGGAAATACGATGTGGGGAACAGAAAACTCCTCGCCATCAAGCTGGCCCTCGAGGAGTGCCACCACTGGTTGGAGGGTGCACAACATCCCTTTCTCGTCCTAACAGGTCATCGTAATCTGGAATATATCCGAGGGGACAAGAGGTTAAACTCCAGACATGCCCGCTGGGCTCTCTTCTTCACACGCTTCCATTTTCAGGTTACTTACATCCCTGGAAAGAAGAACATAAAAGTTGATGCTCTCTCCCGCCAGTTTGACCTTCCAACCAGTAACTCAGACCCTACAGCCATTCTTCCTTCCTCTTGCATTATGGGACCGGTACAGTGGGAGGTTCACTCTGCCATACAAGATGCCCTAACCTCAGACCCGGCTCCTCCTGAGACACCAGCTGGGAAGAGTTACGTACCAGCAGCTGTTAGACCCCAACTGATGCAATGGTGTCACACGTCCTTGGGGTCAGGACATCCGGGCATTACACGAACCACCGAAATTCTAGCCCGTAAGTTCTGGTGGTTCTCACTGGCATCCGACGTCAGGGATAACGTACTCTCCTGTCCAGTCTGTGCCCAAACCAAAAGCCCTCATCTCCCTTCCGGTAAGTTTCAACCTTTGCCAATCCCTCACAGACCCTGGTCCCACATAGCTGTTGACTGCATCACAGACCTTCCTGAATCCTCTGGTAACACCACCATCCTTGTCATAGTAGACCGTTTTTCAAAAATGTGTTGTCTGGTTCCTCTTCCTCATTTACCTAACGCCATGGAATTGGCTGAGTGTATGTTCCAACAGGTGTTCCATCTGTATGGGATTCCGGAGGAATCTGTGACCGACTGGGGGTCGCCCTCAGCCTCTCATCCGGGTACGATCCCCAGACCAATGGGCAGACGGAACGCTTGAACCAAGAAATAGGGAAGTACCTCCGCCAACAATGTTCTGCCTCTCCACACGACTGGAGTCGGTATATGGCCTGGGCCGAATACGCTCAGAACTCACTCATGCATTCATCCCTCCACCTTACTCCATTTCAGTGTGTCCTTGGTTACCAACCCCCCATGTTTCCCTGGGAGGCAGAGCCTGGTACTGTCCCAGCTGTCGACGACTGGTTTCGGCATAGTGAGCGGGTATGGGAGACCGCTCACCGGCACCTGCAGGAAGCCTCTAATACCCAGAAACGCTTTGCCACCATAACTGTCCGGATCGTCCCGCTCCCCGACCTCGCGGTCATCTCCCAAACAGACCCACTGGACATCAGCCTCGACGCAGAACGTGGGGTCTGTCCACGACCGCGTCGAACCAGCCTGCCGGACCTCGCCCCCTTGGTAGGTGGCCGCCTCTGCTCCCCCGCCCGCCCACTCCACCCTCCGGTGCCGTTGGGTCTTCAGGATCCTCGGGGGGTGGGGGGGTACTGTAAGGTTCTGTTTTTGTTTTCTTAGTTCACCTTGTGTTCTTGAACGTAGCCCTGTTTCTTTGTTCTTGAACGTAGCCCTGTCTTTCATTTTTGTTCATTGATTTTACCTGTGTTAGTTACTCACCTGGTCTCATCAGCTCCTTATTTAGTTCAGGTCATTCTGTTTGTGCCTTGTGAGGTATTGTTAGTTTTGACTCTACTAAGCCTTTTCCTAGCTTGTTTGTGAGAACCAGTTTTAGCCTTCAGTCCTAGTTGTTTCACCTGCCTGTTTGCCTACCTGTGTATGACCATTGCCTGCCTGTGACCACGATTCCTGCCTTCTGTGAAGGCGTAATAAACACCTGCCGTGCGCTGCGCGTGAATCTACACTTTTTTCTCCCTGAGTATTCATTACAAAAGCTAAGAACAAGTCCTTCTACTGTGTGTTCCTTTAAAGAGTTCTTCTTTGTTCCGTCCGAGAATGAACATCATGTTTTTGATTGAGAAATCGACTCCATATTGACTCCATATTGGAGGTTGAATAATTTTGGGAATTTTGAAACTGTTTAAATGTGTTTGTAGGAACTCTGGAGCATTGATGGTACGTCTATGATGGTTGTGTCTTCATCTGCATCTCAGACGTTTTCTGATACAGGCCCTTTTCATCTTGCTTCATTATTTCTACAAATCAAACAAATACAAGGTACAATACATCATCTGCTGATAACTGTATGAATGAATGAAATGAACGACATGTTATGAACAAATGAATTACATTTTATGACTGAATGAATGTCATTTTATGAATGAGTTTCATTCTCTATTTCTTTGAGGTAACAATAGTTAGTCTTTCCTCTTCCATTTCACCACAATACCGACCTGTTTCAATACACAGAGGCAATATTCCTGATCTTACCTGTGCACTGTTTTACTTTAACTCACAAATGCAGGCTTCTTTTTCAACACTTACTAAATACTGTAATAGAATATGCATATACGTATGTGTGCTTGAAAATACATTGAAATTGTCAAGGCTGGTCAATATTCAAACATGCAAACCATTCTCATTCATGGGGTGATAGCCGTTGGTCAGGCAGGGAATAACATTTCTACAAAGGTCATGAAAAAGGAGCGGTAATATGCTTCATATGTTGCTTGTCATCATTTGATGGGATTGGTTTTTAGAAATCTTTTTTTATAAAAAGACCAGTGATATCCAAAATATGAAATGGCTTCTCTGTTCATAGCCATGTTTCATTGTAACATGCATATTACTTAACTCCTAAGAGCATGGTTTTAATAGGCATGGGGGGACTATTGACATGGCTCTGTGTCTGGTGCCTGTCATTTGAAGAGAGAACAAGGAAAGCCGGAGTGAAATGAAACTGACCAATGATACGTGACCTTCGTCAATGAAAACAAGCTAGAAACGAACACACCGTCCTATATATGAGCCATCTCATCTGTAGTACATTTATTTACATAGTCCTGGCCGTCAGAAACTGGCTGGCAAATTAGTGATATTTTTCACTTCACTTTAATGAACTTAGAACTATTACGCCGAAAAATAGTATATATTTAATTCCAGGTCATCTTCTGTGTCGACCTCCGCCATCCCGCACTGCCTTGGGTTGGTTTTCTGCACCAGCACTGGGTCAAAGTAATTTCAGGCATGTTCATTTCCTGTGGAAACTAAGCCAGGCGAGAAAGAGAACTGAGAAAGAAGGGAGTGGTGGAGGGGCAGGTTGGTGGAGGTCAGTGATTATTAGAAGCATATGAAGTGAAATGATCATTTCGAAAGCCACACTGTTGAGGCTGGCCAGTCAGAGTCAGCGCCTTGCTACCTGATAAGCCTGGCCGGTCGATCCGTTCACATGAACGGGGCACAGCAGACCTTAGGGGCCTAATTAGCATGCAGCGAAAGGTCATGCCAGGCAATCTCTTAAATACGATTGGCATATGTTACTTGTGTTCAAAGGGAACTAATGAGAAAATGTACAAGCGAAAAGTACCTGGAATTTCAAAGACAATACCGCTCTAAACTTCTGGTGTCGATGGCCAGGGGAACCCGGTCGGTTTGGGCCGAGTGGAGGCAGAGAAGGATAATAACTTAACCCGTGTCCCATTGACTTCTTATTAGCAATCGCTGACCTATGGGCATTAAAGCTGCTCTACTAGGATTAATGGTAATCCAGCACCTCAAGGGATGTTTCTCTTAAACAGGTCCACCCCAGCGAGCTGCTTTCTTAACCACAAATCATTCTCCTGGCCTTGAATATTTCACAGACTATATCCCTAATCTAAATTGCTTTACTTGTATTACTCAGTCGGGCTAAATTAAGAGGGGTGAATTAAATCATATTTTTCACACAAGGATCACATTTATATTAGAGGGAGAGGATCAACGCTGGGACGCATAAAAATGTGGAGTAAGTGTGTTTGCATAGGACCTCTACTCTGCTACTACCCACCCACAAACAGTTCTGTGGGCTTCTATTTGTGTTTATGTAAAAGACTGTACAATATTTTCTACATACCTTCCTCAATGATGAACACCAGTTACAAATGGTCAGATAGAGACACTCATTAGGCTGGCGTCCTGTACATTCATTGCTGAACTCATACATTTTAGTGATATCATAAATGAACTGTGAAATTCACATGCAAGTCCCTTTACATCGTAAACACAGGTTTAAACATTTCGCTACAATAGCTTCGAGGTTATGAAAGCCTTATTTCAATCAACGTTTGCATTATGGCGGCAGCTCTCACATATCTCCTACCTAAATAGTCAGGTTGTTCGCTAGTTCTTCCCCTCTAATAAAAATTTAAATTCCCTGTTCTTACATGCAAGCTATCAATAACCCACATTTCTTCTCTCCATCCAACGTTACTGTTTCCAGGCAGTTTTGATGAAAGATATTGAGGGTAACCAAGTAGAACTGTCACAAACATGAAAGAGCTGCCGCTCACATCTATTACAGTTGAAGTCGGAAGTTTACACACACTTAGGTTGGAGATATTAAAACTTATTTTTCAACCACTCCACAAATTTCTCGATAACAAACTATAGTTTTGGCAAGTCAGTTAGGACATCTACTTTGTGCATGACACAAGTAATTTTTCCAACAATTATTTACAGACAGATTATTTCACTTATAATTCACTGTATCACAATTCCAGTGGGTCAGAAGTTTACATACACTAAGTTGACTGTGCCTTTAAACAGCTTGGAACATTCCAGAAAATGATGTCATGGCTTTAGAAGCTTCTGATAGGCTGATTGACATAATTTGAAATTGGAGGTGTACCTGTGGATGTACTTCAAGGCCTACCTTCAAACTCAGTGCCTCTTTGCTTGACATCATGGGAAAATCAAAAGAAATCAGCCAAGACCTCAGAAAAAAATTAGTAGACCTCCACAAGTCTGGTTCATCCTTGGGAGCAATTTCCAAATGCCTGAAGGTAACAAGTTCATCTGTTCAAACAATAGTATGCATGTATAAATACCATGGGACCATGCAGCCGTCATACCGCTCAGAAAGGAGACGCGTTCTGTCTCCTAGAGATGAACGTACTTTGGTGCGAAAAGTGCAAATCAATCCCAGAACAACAGCAGAGGACCTTGTGAAGATGCTGAAGGAAACAGGTACAAAAGTATCTATATCCACAGTAAAACGAGTCCTATATCGACATAACCTGAAAGGCCACTCAGCAAGGAAGAAGCCACTGTTCCTAAACCGCCATAAAAAAGCCAGACTACAGTTTGCAACTGCACATGGGGACAAAGATCGTACTTTTTGGAGAAATGGCCTCTGGTCTGATGAAACAAAAATAGAACTGTTTGGCCATCATGACCATCGTTATGTTTGGAGGAAAAAGGGGGACGCTAGCAAGCCGAAGAACACCATCCCAACCGTGAAGCACGGGGGTGGCAGCATCATGCTGTGGGGGTGCTTTGCTGCAGGAGGGACTGGTGCACTTCACAAAATAGATGGCATCATGAGGAAGGAAAATTATGTGGATATATTGAAGCAACATCTCAAGACATCAGTCAGGAAGTTAAAGCTTGGTCGAAGATGGGTCTTCCAAATCGACAATGATCCCAAGCATACTTCCAAAGTTGTGGCAAAATGGCTTAAGGACAACAAAGTAAAGGTATTGGAGTGGCCATCACAAAGCCCTGACCTCAATCCTATAGAACATTTGTGGGCAAAACTGAAAAAGCATGTGTGAGCAAGGATGCCTACAAACCTGACTCAGTTACACCAGCTCTGTCAGGAGGAATGGGCCAAAATTCACCCAACTTATTGTGGGAAGCTTGTTGAAGGCTACCTAAAACGTTTGACCCAAGTTAAACAATTTAAAGGCAATGCTACCAAATACTAATTGAGTGTATGTAAACTTCTGACCCACTGGGAATGTGATGAAAGAAATAAAAGCTGAAATAAATAATTCTCTCTACAATTATTCTGACATTTCACATTCTTAAAATAAAGTGGTGATCCTAACTGACCTAAAACAGGGAATTTAATAATAATACTTTTTTACAAGGATTAAATGTCAGGAATTGTGAAAAACTGAGTTTAAATGTATTTGGCTAAGGTGTATGTAACTTCCGACTTAGACGTAATGTTAGATGTAATGTTAGACGTAATGTTAGATGTAATGTTAGACGTAATGTTAGATGTAATGTTAGATGTAATGTTAGATGTAATGTTAGATGTAATGTTAGACGTAATGTTAGATGTGATGTTAGACGTAATGTTAGACGTAATGTTAGACGTAATGTTAGATGTAATGTTAGACGTAATGTTAGATGTAATGTTAGATGTAATGTTAGATGTAATGTTAGACGTAATGTTAGACGTAATGTTAGATGTAATGTTAGACGTAATGTTAGACGTAATGTTAGATGTAATGTTAGATTTACTGAAATAATAAAAAATCTATCAGTCAATGACAGTTTAGGACTTGTAGCATTGCTCACGATGCACTTCTGTAAAAGTATGGTTTTTTCTCAGTAATGCACATATTTTATTAGCCCTACGTATAATGTAACATTTCTAAAGAAGCCTTGATCCATAACAGATGAGATACTACTCTATCATTTAGCTCTCATTCAGAACTAGAAGGATTTTTTTCTGTGTAAACTTTGGGCGCACACACACACACACACACACACACACACACCTAGACACACCATCTACACGAGAGACACATCCAATGAGAAAGTTTCCCATGAATGATTGATTTCTCACGGGGGGCCTCGGCATCTTAGAATATGACTGTTTCTCCTCTCTTTCTTTTTTCTAATAACATCTCCCTGACAGTTCAGAGCCGTGAGGGGCAGATGCTATCCATTTAATCTCTGATGAGAGAAGACTTCCCCTGGGATTCATCAAAGCCCCTCTCTGCCCTGCTCCCTGCCTGGCATGCCGATGGCTGACACCACGTCTACTGTATCAGATGGATCAGTTCAGCAGAGTCTAATGTATGTGTGTGTGTGTGTGTGTGTGTTGGGGGGGGGGGGGGCAAAATGGACTAGGCCGGAATGAGGTCTGCTCCGCTAAATAAAATGCCACTAATTAAAACTACTCTAATTCACCAGATCTGAGTGTTATGAGAATTTCTATCCCAATGTTTCAAAAATGAACTTATTACTGAGTCTGTATCCCAGAGGTTGTAAATCTCTAATAATCAGACCAAGCAGCCCAGCATACAATCATCAGGCTTTATTCATGAGAACGTTCTAAAACAAAATGGTCGTACAATATTTTTATAGGCACACGTCAGAGAAAACATCCCTCCCCTCTGTAGGCAGGCTGTAGTTTTCCACTTTATAATTACTCTCCTGACCATCAGTTCACACACACACACACACACACACACACACACACACACACACACACACACACACACACACACACACACACACACACAAGCCTAACAGTTTCTCTCCTCCCTAAATTCCTCAGTTATCTTGGTTTCTCAGTTGCCTGTAGACAGTTCTCCTTGTCCTTTGTTGTCTGGCCTAACTCTTACTCACATTGCTAAATAGTAGCACAATGTCATAATCTTTACTGGTCCTACACTCACACATTACCAGGTAGTAGATTCTAACACATCTCACACAGTTTCAGTGTAATAATTAGTCACTACTAAGAAAGTACTAATCATTCTTAAAACAATAACATTTCACAACTATATTTAAGGGTGGAACATTTAGTCATTACTTTTAACCTGATTCCTATATCACTGAGAAAAAGCCATGTTTCTTCAGTATAAAAGAGACTAAAAACATTTCTGTGAACATGGGTAACACAAATTGGCAGGTTGCCATTTGTTGTCATGAATCTTGCCCTCAAAGAAGCTCTGCAGAGTGGTCATTAGCTGGCACAAAGTCATTTTAAACCTAACCCTAACCCTAACCCTAACCCTAACCCTAACCTTAACCTTAACCTTAACCTTAACCTAACCCTATCCTATCCTAACCCTGACCTAACCCCAACCCTAAACCTAACCATAACCTAACCCTAACCCTAACCCTAACCCTAACCCTACCTTAGCCTTAACCTTAACCTTAACATTAACCCTAACCTAACCCTATCCTAACCCTGACCTAACCCCAACCCTAACCCTAACCCTAACCCTAACCTAACCCTAACCTAACCTGACCTAACCTCAACCCTAACCCAAAACCTAACCCTAACCTAACCCTATCCTAACCCTAACCTAACCCTAACCTTAACCCTAACCCTAACCTAAACTAACCTAACCTAACCTAACCTAACCTAACCCTAACCCTAACCCTAACCCTAACCTTAA